GGTTGCAAGGTTAACAACAATTAAATTTTGTTTGCTATAGCATCCATTTACAAACTAGTAGTTCATCAAATGTATGTAAAAATAACTTTTTTAAATGGGGAATTAGTGGAAGAAATATATATTAAGCAACCTAAAGGCTTCATAATGCAAGGATAAGAAAATAAAGTATGTAAATTAATTAAGTCTTTGTATGGCTTAAAACAATCTCCCAAACAATGACATGAAACATTTGATAATGTGTTAGTAACTAATGGATATAATAGCAATGATTTTGATAGATGCGTCTATATCAAATTTGAAAATGATAAATGAGTCATGATCTATTTATATGTTGATGATATGCTAATAATGGGAACAAGTGTAAAGGTAGTAAAAAAAATAAAACATTTTTTAATGCCCAAATTTGATACCAAGGATTTGGTGAGGCTGATGTAATCTTGGGAATTAAAATCCATAAATAACAAGAAAACTTTATTCTCTCTCAATTACACTATGTAGAAAGTATTCTTAGAAAATTTGGACACTATGATTGTAAACCAGTTAAAACACCTATTGATTGTAGTATTCACTTAAGGAAACATGTAGGAGAACGTGTTTCACAAAAGGAGTATGCAAGTATAATTGGATTTGTGTCTTATTTAATGAACTATACAAGACCAGACATAGCTATAGTTGTGGGAAATTTAAGCCAGCATACTCATAATCTCGGAAATGAACATTGGGAAGCTCTAGTAAGATTATTACAATATTTAAAAGGAACCATAAATTTTGGTTTACACTACTTAGGTTGTCCTTTTGTTTTAGAAGGCTTTACTGATGCGAATTGGATTTCAAATTCAAAGGATGGTACTTCCACTTGTTTACTCTAGGTGGAGGAGCAATATCGTAGAATCGGTAAAGCAGTCATGCAACACAAGTTCAACAATGGAGGCCGAGTTTATTGCACTAGAATTGGTGGGGTCCGAGGCAGAGTGGTTAAGGAACTTATTGGCAGACATACCAATTTGGCCATAGTCGGTTCTGTCTATATCTCTCCATTGTGATAGCTAAGCAGCAGTAGCCAGAGCCAAGAGCCAGACATACAACGGTAAAAGAAGGCACATCCGCTTAAGGCATAACCTAGTAAGACAATACCTCAGCAAAAGTACAATCACTTTGGATTTCGTAAGGTCTAAAAAGAACATTGTAGATTCGTTAACCAAACCATAGACTTCTAAGGTGGTTTATGAGGCATCGATAGGAATGGGATGAAGCCCATTATATAAGTCATTAGTGATGGACACCCAACTTTTGTGAAAGGAGATCCCTGGAATTAGGTTGAATGGGTAAAAATGAGTCTCTAGATGACTTTGGAAAGCACTATCATTTGTGTCCCATTTCAGATACTGAGGTAAGATAGTGCTCATTGCAGTTTGAGGAGGTTGAGCATGAGGCTCTTAATCAGTTAAGAATGGTGTGTGCAGTGCACGCTAATAACTGACCTAAGTGAGTGTGAAGTGTGATCGCTTCTAAGAGAGATCTTGGGTTGACTCTCTAAAACACTCATGATTCCAAGAGGGATACCAAGCCGAAATGTTCCAAAACAAAAGAACCACTAAAGAACTGATGAATTGAATTGGTTGACCAGTTAGCTAGTTACGAAAAAGAAGAAAGGTTGAAGGAGTCTGACTCCACCCGTACTCTGTGACATAGCCTGTCATACCTAAGTGTTGATTGAAGTTTAAAAGACATCACCATGAACACTTTTCTCACCGCGATGGTCAGATTGTTCGATTTTTTCTTGTAATTTTGAATCTTGTGGGGGATTGTTGGAGGAAGATTCAAAATTTCAAGAATCTCTCTCCTCCCTCTCTTGTTTTTGTCATTTCCTCTTCTCACTCTTAAGTGCATGGGAAGACTCCTTGTCCCACATTGCTTGAGAAAGGTTTGGAAGTAGAGTATATTTGTAGTTTTGCTCACTCTCTGTCTCTCTATGGGTAGGGACCCATAGGAGGAGAGCATTATAGATATTCCATGCATGTGTGTGTGTTGGGGGTGCTTTTCACATGCGCTAAGCCAAGCCAGGTCGGGGCGAGTTTGAGGGTGCGGGTGCAGGTGCATGTACGTGTACGTGTACGTGTACACACGCACGATACACTGATTTACTTTTTAACCAGATTTGAATTTCGAATTAAACGTTTTTTGTGTCCACTCGAACAGGTGACTATTCGAATTTTGAATTTAGTTTTTTAAAAATTATTTTCTTTCCTTTTTCGTGTCTCTTCCTCTCTGTGCCTCTTTGAACAAGTGCACTGTTCTGAAGAGGCTCCTGCTTGAAAGGACACCTCTGTGCCCATTCGGGTCTGAGAACACTTTATAAGAGGAGTGTTCGCCGATCTAGTCTTTACACATCAATTTTCGATAGTCTTCTTGTCTATATTCTTTGTAAAATTCTGAGCATCATCTTTTGTGGTTCGTAGAGGTCTGGGAAGCGAGTGCACGCCTACTAGTGGCTTGTGGACTATTTTATCTTAGCGACCGATTTGCGATCACCCGGCTGCATCGTAGGTGGCAAATGCAGTTTTAAGGAGAGTGACCAAGTGGAACGACTCAGCCCTCATTCTCTCTCTACAATTCCCAATTTCGAGATTCTGCAACAACAAACTCTTGCAAGTTCCCGTTTGAAAAGCGATTACCAATAAGTTCCATTCTGCTTTCTTTATTATTTTACAACATCTTTCGAGTAAACCCACATGGACATGGGATGGGACTGGGCACGAGCGCGATGATTAATGCCATCTCCAAATGAAATAAGTTTGATAAGGTTGAATGGTCTTCACTGAACATGATTGGTACCATTTCACACTTGCAAAATCAACGGCATAAATGTCTGAAGTGATGGGAGTTGGGTTGCATCGTTGATTCATTGATTGGGTGTTCATTTGGTGCGTCTCTTTGGAATGCTCATTTCTGCATTTGTACATCAACTCATAAATTCAATATAGATCATTTCAGTTTTCATTTGGCTGCCGACTTGCTGCGGAGACTAAAGAGGACAATGGGTGATTAATTGTTGATTGTTGGCAAAAGAGCCTTCCAATCTTTATAGGTCACAGGTCGATTTAAGGGAATCTGCTTATTAAGAATATCTCCTTCATTCTTGGGAAAATGTTCTCAAAATGCATGGCTGCGATGTACTTTGGGGTTGGTGTGAAGCACGGCCTGTAAGGAACAAATCTGGTTTCTGAGTTAGGGTGGATGAGCCTACTCCATGAACACAAAACACAGAAGGATTAATCCATGCGAACGGAAAATCCCAAAACCCTTCGAATAAATTTCCCAATAAAAATATAAATATACAGAGGGATGTCCAACTACTCTTTACAGTGTCTATACTTGAGTCCACTTTAATTAGCTGCGGAAAAATAAATTTCTGGTTGTATAAGCAATTGTCTTAGCATTGACCCACCCTTAATTATCAGAGAAGGGACGCTGGATCAACCCCATCCTCCCTGATGGCATAGTTATCACTCTTAACTCTTCTGATTTCATGATGATTGAATAGGATTTTTTTTATAAAATATTCAATTGCAGGAATCAATCACAAAACACAGCGATGTTCATTGTTATCGGTTCGGTTAGGCTGATTATTCTGTTCTCTCTCTCTCTCTCAAAGATGAGGAAGTCGGCCTCAGCTCCTTCACTATCTTTCTTCTTCTTTTTCATGGTGTCTCTACTACTGAAAACAACAGTAGGAGCCCCAAGAACCCAAACAGTGAAAATCCTTTGTTCCCAACTGCGCACTACTGGTTTCGGAACCTCAGTCGTGGGCTCAGGACCAGGGGCGGAGCCAGGGGTGGCGGAGGGGAGCCATGGCCCCCCCTATGCCTTCAAAATTTTCATAAGACCCATTTAAATTTCACTTATATTTTGACTCTCTTATCCATGTTTCTTAGCTTTTGGCCTCCCTATCCATATTTTCTAAGTTTTGGCCCCCCTCAAGAAAAAAATTTTGCTCCACCCCTGCTCAGGACCCGACGCTAACTTCGGCCTTGCCCAATGCTATGGGGACCTCTCCTTGCTCGACTGTGTATTGTGCTACGCTGAGGCTCGTACCATCCTTCCCCAGTGTTTCTCCTACAACGGGGGCTGCATCTTCTTGGACAGTTGATTCATGCAAGAAGATATATTAATGGAAGGATGGCTTGTAATTGTGGAAGGTTGGGAGTTTGCATGCCACTTAACGGCTGGTTAATGTCGGATACTAGATTTTCGCAAAATAAAAATTCAGGTATTAGATTGTCGTGTTTTAAAGTTCAGGTACTAAATTGGCACTCAGCCTAAAATACAAGGTGCCTATCAGGAATTTTCCCTTTTTTATTTTATATTTGAAATTTTAAGGTTAATTCCTTTAATTTTGACAATTTTCATGTAGTTTTTCTTTATTTTTTAAATTTCAATTATTTTTTGGGATGATCCGAATTGACCTATGGATCAACCCTAACCCGAACATTTAGGGTTAGAATTTAGCATTTGATAATCTAACCCAAAATTCAACCCAACTCAAAATCAACCCAAAGTGTATTGACCCAACCCGAACCCGACCCACCCAATCCAATTGCCAGGTCTACGAGTCGGTATGGCAAGGATTGGGATACCCAACCAGGCAAGAGGCAACCATCTTGTCAATTACTTGCAAAAAAAATCTAGTAATTAACTTATAGAAAAAAAAAAAAAACCATCTCGTAAATTGTAATGCGGATCCCCACCCCACATACTGCCGGGTCAGGATAGGACCGCTCCAGAAATACCTGTAAATTGTAACTAATAACTAATATTTCATTGATTCCTATCCCAGTATCCCTTTCGGACGGGACACAGCTAACGAAACCGAGACGGAATCTGCTCCTCACAAAGGGCGCCTCACATGCACATCCACCGTGCACTGAGAACATTTTTCGTGAATAATAATTAATTAATACGGGAGATGTTCTCACTTTCCAATGCGCGGTAGGACGTGCATGTGAGGCGCCCTGTGTGAGGAGGAGATCCGGTCTCAACGAAACCAGCTCACCCTCACCTCAGCCCTCAGATAGTCAGACTCAGAGGAACCGAAGAATAGCCGCTTTGCTCTTTAATGACTTCATTTGTATTGTTGAGGTGAAATGAATGCTATGTTACTGGCTAGAGGTTTAACGTCCCGCTGTAAACAAAATCTGCGCCTCCTGTGCTACTCTACGCCGATCTCCTCGTCCTCCTCTTCCTTCTCATCGAATAACAAATTATTTGTTGGAGGTTTCTCTCTCTCTCTCTGTCTCTGTCTCTGTGTGTGTGTTTTAATTCTGTACACTGTTATTTTGTTGTGATAGGTCTTTCATGGGCAGTAGACGAGAAGTCCTTGAAGGACGCTTTCTCTTCGTTTGGGGAGGTTACTGAAGGTATGATCGAACCCTCCCTTAGGACTTAGATTTCATTTCTTTTTCTTTTAATGTTCATTGAGATTATACTATCTAATTTCTGCTGAGCACCTATCCTATTCCTATCTAATTTCTATGTCATCCATCACATGTTCGATAGAAGGTCACACAGATCAGATGTAACTTTACCAGTACCCTTGACTGTGAAATGTTAGAATTTAGATGCCTTAACCGCACATGGAATATTTCCGCTTCTATATTTCTACAAACGCATTTTAATTTATGCTCATTTATAAATGCTAAGATATGTGTTACCATAATTTGGGAACTGGATTACGGAAAATAGAGAATAATGGGCTCGTCTAAATATACTTTTCAGTTTGCATCAGAAGGTCCCCGAGTACTTTGAAAAGCTAAGTTGGTTTTATTTTCCGTTTATCCAAGAAACCGCAATAGGCCAGCTGGAAAATCATCAAAATCTGGCGTGTAGCGTGGTACTTCTTGCTAGGAGTTATGAATTACAGCATATATCCAACCCCCCTCAGATAGCTCTGACTACCTATATGTTCTAGATTAAGGGTGGCCAGTGGTGTTCGTCATGCCTATGCAAACGGCAAACTAGATGATGCAACTCCTTGGAATAGACAACAGCTCACCTTTTGTTTACTTGTGTTATCACTGTGAAGTAGTGTACTGAACCACATAGAGTAAATTGAGAACTCAACTTTGAACACTTTTGCCTGTGATACTGTGAGAACAATTATTGCTTTTATAGATTTACTAGATAATGTTTCATTTGATACGGTTAAATATATAAAGAAGATGTATCGCATGCATATCCCAAATAAAAGCAAACTTCCTAAATAACCACTCTGATCTAGGCCCTAAGGCTGTCAGTAGGAACGCCAAGATGAAGCCTAATGATGTCCCTTAGGCTCTGTTTGAGAAGAGTGCAAATGCTGGTTTAGTGCATATATACACTCTGGTTCAGTTTTTCTGGTGTTTGGTAAGAATACATTTATGTACAAAAAGTGACAACTTTCACAAATTTCAAGTGATGTTTACATCCAAAATGGGATGCAAATTTTGCATATATTTGGTAAGAATACATATATTTCAATCTTGAGATTCGTGTTTGTACCCATTACAACTAAAAATCGTTTGGCAAGAAAGTAAATTTATCAATGCAAAACTAAACCAATTTTGCATTTGCATGGACCAGAATGCACTTTACATATTTTTACTTGCACTCTATGCACTCTATTTGTACTCTTCCCAAACGGAGCCTAAAGAGTTGGTGGAAGATTAAGCATAAATTGCTGCTCTGAAAACAAGCCTCAACCAAACGATATTGTGAAACATGTGTGGAGATGGTCAACCAACATACCTCTTTTAATCTTTCAAAAAAATTTGAAAACAAAATGTCAAAGTTCAACAATTAAGGATCAAGTAAAAACCATAAAACTCAAACTCTTTAAATTAACATTTGGAAAAAGAAAAATTAGTATTGTGTAGATATGAGGGTACCAATTACCAAGGCTGTGATCCAATTAGAGGAAGCGGAAAGTGTAAGTGGTTGCCTCCTGATCCAACTTAGTGGGATTTGAATGACTACTCCCAACTCCCCAAACTTTAAGTGTTTTGGGTTGCAACATTGTTTGACATTGAAACACAATTACCACCTTTTATACTCAAATCCTCTTTGGTGGGAGATATTTGTTGTTACATCCACATAAGCGTCATGTCATTGCCACCTCAGCGAGCCCATTGAGACTTTTCCCCCTAGACAAGGAAATATTGATTTGATGCTTCTTCAAACACCCTTGCATGGATTTCCAATCCAAACAAAGCGTTTTGTGACTCTTTTAACTCGAAAGGTCTCAAACCAAACAGGTTTTCAACTGTTGAAGCTAAAATATCCTACATGGTGCTGAGGTGGCAGCATTTTTACTTGAAAGTTGAAACACCAATGGTATCAAACAGCACCTAAAGCTCAAAATTTTTACAAACAATAAGTCGTGTTAAGGGGCTCATCATTCAAATTTAAAGAATGAAAAAAAATCCTAAATCATTTTAAAGGTTTTAGATTCACATTGCCAATGGCTAACTTCCCTCCACCTTCTGCAGGGAGGAGGGGTTAAGTTTTTTTGCTTTTAATTTTTTGGTTTATAGGACTTAAAATTGCATCCTGTCCAGTTGCTACCAGGGAAGATGTGAGAGGGAATAAATTGATCATTTGGTTTTACAAGACTTAAAATCGCATCTTTTTCAGGGGGAGGGACAGGGGAATAAGTGGTCCTTGCTTCACATCAGTTCTTGAGCTTGAATGCCATTTGTTTATTCAGTATATGGAGTGATTCGCTCTGAGTTTAGCATTTGTTAACTCAACCATGCCACTGATGCAAGGGAAGAGGAGCATTTGATGGTGCTTTATAGGAATATAACGTAAGCTGAAATATTGATATTGACAAGATGAAACCAATATCTCTACTTACAAGTTTGAATATAGCTAGAAAAGAAAATATATTGTTGGTCAGAACTCTTGACAAGTATCTTTTTTCTGGTCATCTATCCCCTCCATCTTTCATGGTGATGCCTTGTATGTTTCTTTTTTTGTCTTTGTTAAGTATATTATCATAATTACATGGTTTATCTCTTCTCTTTGAGTTAGATAATCATAGTGGCCTTTTGTACCCCAGTGAGGATAATGTATGACAGAGACACTGGGAGGTCAAGAGGCTTTGGCTTTGTACATTTCTCAAAAGATGATGATGCCAGATGTGCCAAAGATGCTATGGATGGGAAGGTAAAAAGCTGATTAATAGACTCACATAGTTGGAGATGTGTATGACATTGACATCACGATTAGCAATTAAACAATAACTGATTGAATCCTTTTATTTTCTGAGTTGGTCCCTATTGCAGGCATTTTTAGGTAGGCCATTGAGGATAAGCTTTGCTCTTGAGAAAGTTCGTGGTGGACCTGTTGTAGTTCCTCGCCTTTCTAGTGTTGAAAATGCCAAAGATTGAAGTAGTTGATATCTTTGCAAGTGATAGTATTCATTTCTAAATGTTGATTGAATGGTTGCGACTTTCAGTGTAAGAGTGACGCTCTTCAAGCTATAATAGCAAGTTTAAAAACCAAAAGAAAAGGCTATAATAGCAAGCCTAATGCTACATATGTTTCTTAATTTCAATGGCTTTGTAGGAAGAAATGAACCTTCTCTACCACAAAATCAAGGTAGTATAGGAAAAGAAACTTGATATTCATATTGGAAAAGGTTCAAACTGGGAAATAAGAGTTTTTTAGTTCAATTTTGGCATGAAATGGTTTAATATTGCATCCATGATGTAGAAATTGTTTTTCTGAACAACCAGATGTCTGATTCATAAGCCAATCAAGTTATTTCAACAACCCTTTTATTTATTTAAATTGAAATGAAACCAATGCGAGAGAGTAATTGTGTTCATCTCATTGGTTTGATATGTAGGGTTAGGTGCAGCATCGCTGTAAAGCTTCATGCGGCTAATAAAGCAAATTCAAAAATTAAATTCCTTGTCAGTTCATGGGCTGGGCCGGGCTCGGGCCGGGCTTTTAGTATTTATTAACAGAAAAATAATAGGCCCGAGCCCGAGCCCGGCCCGACCAACGGGCCTAGAATTTGGGCCCAAGCCCAGCCCTGATAAAAAACCCGAAGCCTGAGCCCGAGCCCGAAGCCCGACTTAATAAAAGAAAATCAAATTTTTCCTATTCAAATAGACATTATCTATTTTAATTCAGATGTTTTTTTCCCCTATTTAAATGAACAATGGGCTTACAAGTGAATTAACAACCTTCTCAAATCAAAAAATTTATTCAAATGGACATCACATAGGGTTTTTACTTAGGTTTAACTATAGGTCGGGCCGGGCCGGGCTTGGGTTGGACTATTTTGGCAAAGCCCGAGCCCGGCTCGAATTTTATGCGGGCCGGGCTTTTTGGTCCGAGGTTAAGCTCGCGGGCCAAAAAGCCTGTTCAAGCTCGTCCGGGGGTCGGGCCGGGCCGGGCCAGCCCGTCAGGCCACCCGGCCCATGAACAGGACTACTTGTCAGTGCACGGCTAGAGTTGGTTTGTAGCTTTTCATTCAGAAATTCCTTGGAATGCAGAGCACGTACTTTGCTTTCAGTATAATATTATTTTTGCCAAAGTAAATAGAAAGTAGAAACTTCACTCCGACATTCATTAAGTATCGGGCGCCCCTCGATGGAGAGAACAGATCTGCTCCTCACACATGGCGCTTCACATCAACCTCACATGCACATCTTACTGTGCATTGAGAATATTTTCTGTATTTCTGTATTATTATTTACGGGAGATGTTCCCAATGCACGATGGGGTGTGCCTGTGAGGTGTCCGTGTGAGGAGCAAATCCCACCTCTTCAATAGATCATCTCCCTGGTCCCTGCTACTGTAAGTACAACTATCATCATCTGCATTCAGCAGAAAAGATCAATTAAATAGGTTTTTGGCATCAATGCCGTTTCTTATAAAATGGCATCACATCAAAAATTCATTTTTTGGGATAAAATGATACCAAATAGAAAATTTAAGAAATCAACATGCTCATGCAGCACCACTTTCTTTCTCAAGAAATGGCGTCGATATAATCAATGTTGATATACGAGTCTGAATGTATTTACATATTTATAAACAATACAGATAAAATTGTAGATGACATTTTCAACGTTGGCCTATTAGCTCAGTTGGTTAGAGCGTCGTGCTAATAACGCGAAGGTCGCAGGTTCGAGACCTGCATGGGCCATTAAGTGCAGAAAATACAATTTTTGTATAAAAAAACCTTTTTCCGATTTTCATTTTCTTTTCAACGAAAAGAAGCGTGAGGAAGCGAAGAGGCTGGACAGACGACAGAGAGAGATGGAAGGGAATTGGAAAAGGTGGGTGTCCCTGTCTCTTGTCTATTGTCTTTCTGAACTCTGAAGCTTGATGCCTACTTTCTAGTATTTTGGATTTGTTTTGAGATTTCTTAGATACAGACTTCGATTTACGGCCATCACTGTGTCAAGTTGAAGGCTTGAAGCAAGGTCCAACGGTGACCACTTCTGCCACTCCTGATTCACCATTGTTTGACCCGTTTGACCTTGACCGGGTAAATGGGTCAACCATTATATGGATGTTTCGTGATTGAAGCATCCAAACGCTCGTCCTGTTTAACAGGCGTCAAAACTCCAACCTACCATTTATTATCGTCAAATAGTCATTAGAAATTTCATAATTACTGTCATATCCTATCCCTCTATTCATAGTTACAAAACAGTAGATCACATCACAAATGATACAACCTAAAATAACTAACTACACCAGTGCCATCTTGGAGCTTGGCAGAATCGAGTTTTCTATATTCTAAGGAGTCGTTTGGTGTAGTGGTGTTGTGTTTCTGTTGTGATTTCGGTTCGCCAATACAAATTTGTGTGAGATTTTTTTTTGGTTCAACTATAATGCTTGAAAACATGATACCGGAAAAGTTTACAGGAAGCCTTTATGATATGATGTCGCTTAAATGGTTTAAAAACATTTTGAGTTGATAAATACAAATTGTTATTGCTACTTAAAATCTCAATTTTGATGTTTCTCACACAAATGACATATGTATATGATGTGGTAACACATATTTCTCTGGTCAACTCAAAACACAACAACATGGCAATGCCACTATACCTTACACCCCATAAGAAAATTTATGTGGAGGTGTCATCTCAAATCCTAATGTTTATGTGGAGATGTGAAGGTGTCTTGGTGGTGTGATTTCTATGGGTGTCCGATTACAATTTAAAAAATTCTCAGACCAATCCAAGCCATTTTACTATAAAAACCAAATCAGACCTAAGCATTTTGGTCTGTTTGATCCAGTTTCTTATATAGTTTGGGTCATTCTATTAGGCTTAACCCAATTAGAAATCTTAAATAATATGTATACCTGCATAAATAACAAATATAATTCAAATATCAAACTGAAATGTTAATAAGTGTCACTTATTACTATTATATAAACTACATCTTTCTCAAATATAAATAACTCTTTGAGCATCAAATTAGAAATTACAACTTACAAGTTAAAAATTAAATAAACAACAATAATGTATGAAATGTTAAATGAATACATACATACATCCATTCATGCATTATATGCTTAAATATATATATATATATATATATTATATACATTAATAAATATATGATTAGTGATGTAGGCGCTTTAGGCAGGCCTTTGGGGCATTGGCACGTGGCCGAGATCAGAGCCGATCAGCGCGTCGTATAGGGCAGAGGTCAATGTCCAGCGCAGGACCAATGGTGCGACCACACGTGGCAGTTCTCAGATGTCTGCGTGCCTAGGGCTAAGATCGCATCCTGACCGTCTGCAATGTCCGCCATCAACTGACCTCAAGTATAAATAGGGCGACATTCCCCAAGGTAAGGGATCCAATCCTGATCCGGAAGTTGCATTCCCAATTCTAGCTCTCCAGCTTCTGGGCGACCTCGTCCGCCCTCTTTGCTCCACCCTACTAACTTGATCATCGGAGTCCCCGCCTCGGGTCCCCGACCCAAGGCCTCAGACGTCCCCTTTCTTCGCAGGCACTAGTCCTCGGCCTCAGCACCCCTCAGAGTCCTCGGCCTCCACCAGTCCACGACCTCGGCCTTCCTTGGAACCCGTTGGTCCTCAGCTAGACTCCACCTGCCCTCGGTCGCAGTATACCTCGATTACGCGCCTTCATCCTCAGCGACACTCAGATCCTCCTAGCCAGCTCGTTCGGGAGATAAGGTAAATTTATTGTGTTGTCCTCAGCCCATCTAAGCATCAACAATTGGTGTTGTCTATAGGAATGACCGCTAAGTCTTCCCCCCAACACTACGACTCAGCTTCCAACAAAATGGATAGGAGGAAGGAAACTAAGCAAAATTTGGTCACTAGGGACCAAATCTAAATAGTCTTCGACTGGCTCGACGACCTCACGCAGAAGTTGGACAAGGTGCAACAATCAGTAAGAGGCCACCCGCAGGGTGGCCACCCTGCTGAAAACCGGGGGCATTGCCACGGATGCCCTTTGTGGGCTCCGCCGGATAAACACCTGGGCAGGCCCCTTCAGGCCGACCCCCCAACGCCCGACGGAAGTGGCCAGAGTGTGGGTTAGCTGTCGAAGACCCTCTAGCCTCTCGATCAAAGGGAGAACAAATCAATACGACCTTGCAACCGACGAGCCGAAAGGAACCGAGACGCAGTCGGCCTGTCCCTTGGCTAGCAAATCGCCGACCTACGGGCACAGCTCGACACGGTGAAGGGTGAAGTTTGGCAAGTCAAGGAGAGCCTAGCTGACACCTCGGCAAGCCAACACCCCTCCACCAGGATGGACGCCTTCACTGTCGCCATCACCTCGGAACCTCTTTAGCATTATTTCAAATCTCTCACACTGGAATCTTACGATGACACCTTTGACCTAGATGAGCACCTGGAGAGCTTTCGTGCACTCATGCTCCTGTACGGGTGTTCCGACGCATTGATGTGCCAAGCTTTCTAGGCGACCTTCAAGGGGGCAGCTCGACGCTGGTTTTCCGAGCTCCCGCCCTGCTCCATCAGCTCCTGGGACCAGTTCGCCCATCTCTTCCTCGCCCACTTCATTAGTAGCCGACGACACTTGAAAAGCATAATCTCACTCATGGTCGTCCAATAATGATGCGGCGAAAGCCTACAATCCTACATCGATCGTTTCAAGAAAGAAGAATTGGAGGTTCGTGACCTTGACCCCATGGTCTCCATGTACGTAGCAATCCATGGCCTCCTCCCCGGGTCCGCCCTCAAATGCTCTGTTGCCGGAACGCCACCCAAAACCAAGGCGGAATTTTTGAAAAAGGCGCAGAAGTATATTGCTGTCGAAGAAGCCTCAGCCGACGAGCACCAAGGAGGAGAGGCCGACCTCGACCATGGTGACCACTAGTGTGGAGATAACTGTGGCGATAACTACAACAACGGGAAGCAATATGTTAACACTGATCTCATCGCCCCATTCCTACAACAATTATCGTAGTCAGCCGACGTTAGCACCTCGACCTCGGCTTTATCCGCAGGCCGAACCATGTAACAACAAGAGCTCGGCTTCGGCCGATCATTAAACCCCTTTTTGAAATAAAGCGAGTCTTTCTTACCTCGCCTCAAATCCTTAGCGCATACATTCTTCTCTCGATCGAGCACCCTCCCGCTTTATACAACCTTCACCAAGGTTACACGCTCCAACTGGGCCTCGGTCCAAGGCACACGACCTTTGGAGGTCA